TAAAAGTAAAAGGAAGGAATATAAAGTTGGTTTATTTGATCAAGGTTAAAATAGGTATGTTCTTATCTCTGGTAACCCTTAATGGACTTTTGCTGACTAGGACCGAATGATGAGGTTTAAGAATTTGTTTATAGATAAGAGATGAGATATGGGAAAAAGAGATCATTTGTTGTATTTTAAGAGAAGGTGATAAGTTACTAACATTGTTTATTCTTGTGAAGAAGGGGGAAGTCATTTCTTTCTATATTTCTTTTCTTTTTCTTTACAATATTCTTATTTTTTCTCTTTTTTTCTCTTCTATTTTTCTTTTATTTTCTGCACCTTCTCTTTTTTCTTTTTATTCTTTTATTTTTCTTAGTTTGCATTAGTTTTTATCTTTTTAATTGTAATGTTTAATAAAATTACTACAAAAAATAAAATAAGAGGAAAGATACCTCTGTTCTACAAAATACAATAAATCATAGACAGAACATAATTTATGTTTCTGCAGACAGTTTTCCATCCAAGAGTTAGTACCCAACTTACTCCTGCAGTCAGAACAAAGGAAAAAAAAAACAGCTGCTGAAAACCAGGGGAAATAGACTAGACCTTGAGAAAGGCTTCCTTCTGTTCCAGATGTTTGCTGATTAAGGGGATAACATGATCTATTTCAGATGCTGGCCCCAGCTTATCCCGACCTCCACACCAGTCTTCATCTCTTCGATATTCCTGCTCCAAACTCTCCAGCACACTGCAAACCTTAGGCACAAGCCAGAACACAATTGTTTAGTTATCAAAGTTATCTTTAAAAGCACAAAAGATTTATCATTAAAAGCATGAACCTATTCAGCTAACCAAAAATATAGGACTGATTCACAGATATTATATGAAATTCCTTATACGGGAAGGTCACGTGAGGCAGCCTTTCCCCCATTTGAGCCTCTACAGATATATTAGACTGCAGCTCCCATCATTCCCATCCAGTATGGCCATTGATGAAGGAGTAATGGAACTGTAATACTGGAAGGGTCTAGACTGGGAAAAGCTAGGTTAAGGAACACAAGCTATTTGAAAATTTCAAATTAGCAAGACTCTACATATACATTTGTGTATATCTATATATATATATGCCCATTTTTTTTTAGATTATTGCAATAATGCCTGTATTGCCTATATATTGTATTGTATATAATATACTGCTATTTTGTAACTATTAACTATGATACAAATGTTCTATGTCAAGGAATAATCTAACAGCTTTAGTCATTTATAAGTTTCAAGAATAGTGTCATTTGATCTACCACAGGTTTTAATTTTGACAATGTTAAAAATGAAATATTATGAAAGAAAAGCAGCCCCTTTCAGGAGAAGGTTCCAACACCTTTATTTTATAGTTGAAGAAGCTGGATTTGTACTGGTAAAAGTCTCTAACCCAATCCTAATCACTAGGCTTTTGGTTAGGAACCACAGAGGAAATGTTGATTTTGAATATTTAGCCTCATATAGACCATGGTTTTCAATCTGCAATTGGGGCAACAATGTTTTGGCTAAAGATTGTCAACGTTTATTAGATAATGTGTTCATCAAGGCAACCTGTCTTGGGTAATGTAAGCATTTTTTAAAAAATTTTGCCACATTCATCATGTTCCCAATAGGTAACCTATTAATCACATTAAGGAGACACAGATAAGTCCTTTGTGCTTAATATTAGGATAACCAAATATAAACTTCAATGAGCGCCGTTGTTTAGGGATGGCTAGAAAAACAAAGAATTTAACACTATATGCAATTCATCCACTATGGTCAACCACTCTATGTCATTGAATAAACAGTAGTAATTATAAATGGTAGGAATGATGTCTTTATGCAATTGTCACCTCACATAATAATGGAGCTATTGCAAACCAATTAAACACAGTCAGTGCTGAGGGTGAAGAAGGCCTTGTTCCTCTCACCTGCTCTGACGTTTTATAGAAAGCAACAGAGGCATTAACCAGTTTCAGCCGGTCCTCCATCTTTAGCATGAGTTGCTGCCAGTGCAAGGCCACCTTTTCTGCACATTCCCGGATGGCGTCGGCATCATAGTGCCCAGCCTGCAGTAAGACCTCTGCCTTCTGCTGCACTTGGAGGGCACTCTGGTGTGTCTTCTGCAAGGAAGTGGCATGAAAGAGGGACTGTGTATGTGGGGAGGAAAGAGAGATTTGTACAGATGTGCCAAGCAAATGGTATAAAGAGGTGAGGTGAGGTGTGAGCATGAAAAGGTGAGAGAATGAAATACTTTTTAGAGTGAGCTCTCTTCAGTAAGCATTCTGTATACTCATACAAGGACATTTACTTATAATCTAGGTTTATGTCCCATTTTTTGGTAAAACACCCCAAATGGCCTACAAGTAAAAAGGATGCTGACATTAACCTGGTGTATCTGCTATACAGTGCTTTAGAATCTTTTTTTCTCTTTTGCCTCATTATAATCTTAAGAGATGAAAACCCATATTCATTTTAAAAACAGAATGATGTGCATTTTAAACACATTTTTACCACAATGTAACCACCTTGAACAATTGAACCTCTATGTTTGAAGAACAATTTTACAGCTTATATAAAGCTTATACAGGTAGTCCCCAGTTTAAGAACAAGTTCCGTTCCCAAGGTCTGTCCTTAAGTCAAATTTGTATGTAAGCCAGAACAGTAGTATTGTATAATACTGA